TTCTGTGTCCTTTAGTCAACTACTTTACCAATATAGTTGACTATGGTACTAATATTAACTATTAGTGTGTTGCAGAATGATAAATTGCAAAAATGAATTAAAAAAATTTAAAAAAAATTGAACGATAATATTTTATATTAGTTTGGATTCAATATGAATCGTAGTCCAGCCCTTGGGTTGGATGAGGTTCTCTATGATGGCTCCTTATCAAACTTTGTTACAAGAGGGTTTTGTGACTTCTTTGCACGTCACTATCTTGTTCTCTAAGATTTTGATACAATGCTTCCCCTCTCTTTCTATCTCTCTTTACACAGTAAATCAATGAAATTACAATGCTTGCTAAGAGTAGAACAAAGAGCTTGATATTAGTTAGATGAAAGTATATCTTATCATGGAGTACTTCATCTTTTTAAATACACAGAAGGAGGCCGTTGGAGTTATAAATATTCAGCAGATAATTTCCTTAATCTACTGCTGACAGAGAGATGACAACCAAGAGATTTGGTCTTTGAAAGATATTCCAAAAATAAAGTTGAAGCCTTCCAAGATGCTGCTTAATTTTCACATATATGCTTCCTTTCTGGATTGCTTTGAATTAGGTCATTCTTAGTAAATAAACTCCATCAATTGCTTGATTTGTGCTGGCGGGATTTCTTATTGAATGATTGATTCTTCTTACCATGTAAGCCGCTATCTTTCAGCTCTTGATTGATTCTTCGGATTCTTCTTTCCTTGTTAAGTTGCTAACTTCCAGCTTTTGATTGACTCTCTTTCCTTATGATCCACTGTCTTACTTTTCCTCGTGCGACAGACATTCTTTTTTTTCCTTTTTCTTTTTGCACAAGTGAATTGTCCTTCATCAATATGATCCTGCAATTTTACAAGTGATGTCATTATTAAAACAAGGCTAACAATCTCCCTCCTTTTGATGATAATAATTTGAACATTAATTAAGGATGATCAACTTACGATACTTCCCTGACATGAGCGTGTGGATCTTTTCCCCTTGAGTATGTGCTCCCCCTGAATTGATGTTCCTCCTGATATAATTCCTCACCCTCTTTTGCATCAACAAAAATAAAAGTACAGAAGAGATAATAATATATGCATATAAGTAGCTAACTTAACCATGGAAGCACCCGACTTAAGTAATTATCTAAGATCAGAAAAAACATAAGTCTAAGCACCATGTAGTCGACTAAGCTACTGAGTGTTCAGAACATCCACAAAACATACCAAAAAATATAAATTGTTAAAACAACCATACAAAATCAACAAAGGAAGTAAGTAAGGTGTATTAGATGGCGTCTTTCAACCTGATGATAGTTTGCTGTCATGATGATTGAGATTCCATCAATCAATACAGTCATGCACTTCCCTGAATGCACCAACTGGCTCATGTGCCATTCGTTCCAACTTGACTCGAATTTTTGAGGTATCAGATTTGGCTTCCTTTTATATTTCCCTGATGTCTTCCACCATTGTCTGGTAGCAGCAAGAAGTTCCTTGACAGTTTTAAATTTTTTATCTCTCCACCAATCTTGCGGAGAGTTCTGGATCAAATGAGTGAGAGGTTGAAGCTTTTGCCTTGGAGTGGGTTGTTATGGTCTTGCCTTCGGTCTCATGCTTCTTCACCTATATTCCTTCCGTAGATATGTACCCCATGTTAACAAAGTCTATAGAGTTATAACACTTAGGCACGAGAAGGAACGGAAGGTTTGAGAGAGATTTTGATGTGCTTCCAATAGACGGGTGATGATCATGTTGTATGGGAGACTAGTTGGGTCATCAGCACTTTCGAGCATAACGTAAATCACCTAGGACAAGAGTTTGACCCTGTCTTTAGCGAGTAAGAAGTAGGCTAGGAATATATCTGGCTGAGACAGAGTAGAAAAGGAAGCTCTTTTAGGAAGAATAGTGGTAGCAACAATTCTGGTTTCAAAATTGATATTGTTTGGCCTAGTTGATTTGGGAGAGGGTCAGTGGATGCTTTAGCAATGTATTTCTTTGATTGTTCAATCGAAACTTCAAGATCATCTAGCTAAGAGTTCTTAAACAGAGTGGCGTATCCGGAGCACTTGCAATTGAACATGGAATCAAAACTAGAGAAATCAAGAACAATGTATTTACCAAGAACCAGGGATTCAATTTTATCAAGTTTTGGGATCGAATATTGGTATAGAACATTCGAACAAAAGTTTAAAAACTCTGGGAGGGGCTTGAGTAAGTATGTTTTTCCATATTTAAAATTCGAAAAAGTCGTTTACCTTGCAATTGTTGCTTTCCATGTCTTCAAGATCGATGATTTTTCCATGTGCAATAGGTTTCTCCTTCAAAGCAATGTGCTTGTCTCAATTCGGGGTGTCCCAGAAGTTGATGTCAGAATCATACGGGCCATCTAGGTCAAATTTAACCTTCTTTGGAGAGATGTACTCAAGGTCTTCCATTGGTTGTTTTCACAGGGCTTTGCTTTCTCGACTTCGAACATCGTCGGAGGGTTTAACCGTAGAGGAGACAAATTCCTTAGACTGGAGATAGTCAAGATCAAGAAGTTTGTGGTTTTGAGGGGTTGATTTTGCCTTATTCCGCGAGCTTTTGCACATATATGGGGCAGAGTTCTTGGAATTTTTGGCCATAATTTTTGAGGATTTTATGAGAGACAAAGGAATAGTCTTGAGAGAAGTGAGTGTGACGGAGAAAAATAAGAGTAATTATAGATACTGACAGGAGAACTAAATGAAGGTTAGAAGAGAGACTAATTAGCAGTGTCAATGAAAAGACACGTCTGAACAGACGTGTCTTGAAGAAATGAAAGGGTGCGAAAAGGAGGGAAAGTAATTAATGAAGTGTTGAGGCAAATTTTTTAAGTCAGGAAAGGGAATATATGCAATCATAGAAATAATGCAATAGAATATATTATGCCCCAAATAAGTGAGAAATTAATGAGAATTAGAAATAATGCCAAGAGCACTTCTTAGTGTACCAAACCTTTCTTCAAGCAAGGGTTTGGTTAAAATATCTGCCAACTGATCCAACATTCCAATAAATAAAATTTTAATTTCTCCTTTTATCATATGATCTTCAATAAAATAATGCTTAATATCTATATATTTTGTCCAACACTGATGCACAAGATTTTTTTGATAAACAGATAGCACTAGAATTATCACAAAAAATTTGATTTGGTTTAAAACGAATATCATAATCATTAAGTTGATGTGACATTCATAGTAGTTGGGCGCAACATTGTACTATAGAATTATATTTTGCTTCTATTGTAGATAATGCTACAGAACTCTAATTTCGCTATTCCAAGAAATTACAGATTTTTCAATGAGTTGGCATGTTCCACTAGTGTTTTTTCTGTCATCCTGGTCACCTCCAAGATCTGCATCTAGAAAACCTTCTAATTTGAAATTGTTTGAACGAGGATACCTTAATTCACATGATGTGGTTCCAACAAGATAACGAGTCTTTTGACTGCAATCAAATGAGATTCTTTAGGAACTGATGGGAACCTAACACATTTTCATGCGCTAAACATGATATCTAGTCGAGCAGCGGCTAAGTAGAGTAAAGAACCAATCATTCCACGATACTTGGTTTCATCCATGGTTTTTCATCCTTTATCCTTATCTAAGGACCATGATGGACTCATTGGTATTTCGATTGATTTTGCATTTCCATTCCAAATTTCTTGATGAGTTTCTTGGTATATTTTGTTTGGAATATGAATATACCTTCCTCTAATTGATGAATTTGAAGTCCAAGGAAGAAAGCAAGTTCTCCCATCAAACTCATTTTGAATTTGTTTTGCATAAAGTTTGAGAAGTCCTTGCATAAATCAGGGTTAGCGCTTCCAAAAATAATACCATCAACACAAATTTTAATAATAATGTTACTAAATGAGGATCGCTTGATATAATTACATGATATACCACATAACTCAGATACTCATAGTAATACCTTCTGACTAGAATAGCTGCTCATTACTATACCTGATACCAGCAACATACCTCATATCATATAAAACCTTGTTCTAAACCTTCGTACACTGCCAATGATGAAAGAAACATGTAAAAACTCATCTCACCGGTCAGATGAACTAGTTTTGGAGCTCTCTCGCATGTCGAGAACCATAATCAAATTCTAAGCTGACTAGTGACCTTACTCTTCCAAACATACCTTAACCAAATATAATGGCACAAATTTCAAGTCCAAAAATCTCATTTCACCCAATGCAAGCTACTCGACTAACAAGCCACACCAATGATACCTGGAGCCACATACGATGCAATATGTGTGCCCTTAAGCAACGACTCAAATATAACAAATGATGGAAGGAGAACGAAATAAGAGAACTGTACGACAAGTACAACAGGTACAACCCCAATGACACCATACTATGAATCCATCCCACAAGGGAGAAGCAAAACAAATGAAATAACCATAAAGAATCTCATCCTAACATCACCTCGTTGCTGCATACAGTCTGATCCACACTTAACGATCCACATAGAACACCAATCGAGCTATAATGTTTACAATCAACAACTAAATAATTATCAACAGTAAACACACGAAGCGTATGACCATAACCATGAAGAAATAGATAGCACCACATACAACAAACAGGAAAAATACGACAAAGTGCAATAAGCAACTCAACATCTTAAGAGCCAGCTCACTCAAACTTCGCCACAAGGCTCGAGCAACACCACATTATCTAAGTAAATATCAACAACCTCACAACCCATCGTAGCATAAGAGAGTAATACATGAAGCACAGTAGGACATGAATAATATCAACTCTAGTTGATGACATACCCATAACAATAGTTGTGCTGAGTAAATAAACCTAATCCGATGTAGAATACAAATTCTAATTAGGCCTCCAAATGGGCCCCTAAACCAATTCTGATCCTCCCGAAATAGGTAAATAACCTTCCAAATATCCACAGTAAACTATCCATAACATGTACCATCAGCTGTCTAACTCTGGTCATATCTTCGTAGTCCACAACCAAGGAATAGTCTACCTCTGAGAATTCCAGTCTCCAAATCCTAAGAATACAAAGATCTTCGTAGCCGATTCTAACTCAACCACTCAGTTGGCTGACATATCCCTCACACACAATTATTTCACAAGAAACACTCTCATGAATCTTCCCCACCACGTAACAAAATCTGAATGTCAGCAATGAACAACCAAGCGATTATCGTAATACTAGTCAAGCATCCACAAGTAAAAATACAATGCGCCTTCTGAAATGCGAATCCTTCTTAGGTGATACCAAATAGTGGTAGCATTCTTCTAAACATCTGAAACCGTCCATGTTTTCTAGAACTCATGGCCTTCCCTTTGAAATTGAATCGCAACCTTATACATGCAATATCAATCCCACATGGTGCACCGTATCTATTAAGCCATCATAAGAAAAGTACGAAAATTTCATTATCAACTCTGAATCACAAGCATGATAGACACTCCATCAACCATAAACCTTCCACTTGACCCCGTGAAGGAGAAAAATCACAATACACAACAAACTCTCCATGCTTGTAGAAGACATCTATCTCAAGTCATGGTCGAAGCTATTGAAAACTCTTCGAGACCCATTAGCACAAAACCAAGCCATTGGAACTGAATCCCTCTAACTTCAACCGAGTCACGTAAATCGCCTAACCCAACATTATTACTAGAAAACACATGTAAAGCTTGCTTCACCGAAAGAATCAATTACTTCCATTATTATGTTGATCCAAACCACTACTAAGCTGACCTATTTCTTTGAGTTCCTCTCGACTTGCCTTCAAGTTAACACTTCTCCTTTTCAGTACACTACGATCCTTAGCCCAAAGCTCACCCCATGGGATCCTGGCATGAAATCACGTCATCTTAAGACTCATAAATCCCTATTTCCCTCTAAGTCACCCAATAGTACCGCAACCGAGATACATACTATGGACAGACCTTCTATGAGTTTGAAGTAGTTTCTTTAACCTCTCTAATGCTAAAATGTAGAATTAATAATGATAAAGAAATACCGCAAGTCTTGACACCATGCAATGCAAATATTAGAACGTAGCCACTTAAAAATTTGGGAAATCCTCAAATACCACTTATAAATCGTGAACTCATTAGAACCTTCTCGAGAGTCATCCACTCTGCTCAAGTCTTCTATGCACCGCCAATACGAACCGAATGACTTGTGCTCCATTAGCACAACATCTAAAGAAGTAACCCCATGTATAAGAAACCGAGTAAATCCCTTCGCCTTTCACACTATATCCGCCACGAATAACAAACACGAATCATTCCAAGATACCCACATGCCCATGAAATATAATACCTCATGCACCTAGCATTTCCCTCCCCCCACTCCCCACATTAACCTCGAAGTCAGCTCCCTTCAAGTCTTAACTAATCCATAAGTATGCCTCAATTCATAACTAATATAACACATGGCCACACGATCTAATCATCGATAGTAGGCTCCCCCACTTTGCTCGAAGCCATAGAACACAACATCTGACAACCCAAAATACCCTTACTCCATATCTACCATGATCTTACACTATAATTCAACTAAATCCTTCATGAGCTCATATAGCCCTAATCATAAGATAACTCAAATCATTTGCTAAGCGCATGTCCAACATCGTGACAGTCGTGCGAACTCCTTCAAGAAATCTTAACTCTAAGTGTAGCACATATACATCCCACTAGGTAGAAAGAAAAATCTTCACAGAAACATTGCCAGGATTACACATCCGTAGACCACCCCATAGAAGATAACTCACCTGCTTAGTCTCAAACTGGCACCTCTCGATGACCCTATCATAGTCACAACAACTATGTAGTTACTTAATCCTCCCAAGGCTGAACTCATCAATAAGACACAAGAATCTCTTTCATTCCACAAATGAGTAACTAAAAGATCTCTAAAAGACTCATAACTCAAGATTGTATAACACTTCAAGATAGAAATCGAGCATCCATAGTCCTTTCGCATCCTAAGTAAAATCTTCTCACACATCTAGACCACCTAAGCATAGTCCTCAGTCACATAACACTTATCATATAGCTATGCAACCACTCACTGAGCCATCAATCCCACTCTTAAGGATACTACCGGACATATAAGTCCAAAAATACATGTTTACATAACAAACCGCCGAGCCTAGGCTGCAGACTGAACCTGGCCTCAAGTCTCTAGTTTGGCCTATCTCCTTAACACAAAGAACACATCTCGCACCACATCTATGACATCACGAGACATCGATACACAATTGATATTGGGTGCTCAACAAAACATACGAGTGGATGGAAAGAATAAAAGAAATATGCTTCAAGCTGAATCAATACCGCATGATAAGGAAAGAAAGATGTGAAGTTTTTCTTAGATTTCCTATAGCCTTTTGAAGATAAGTATGGACGTCATCGTACCGATCCGCAAGACTCTATTAGCCACTTGCTCATGACTTGTAGAAACTATGAACCTAAAGATTTGTTACCAACTTGTCACAATCCAAAATCCACCTAGTTGTGCTATAACCTAACCCAGCCCACTAGGTGAGCCAAACAATAGTCAACACAACACTAATGAAAGTAATAAGAAATCAATACGTGAGATAACTAAATTTATATACAATAACCCAAGGATTGGTAGTACAAGTCATGAACTACTAAGATTTAGATTTACAAAGTTGGTATGAAAGTAATTACAATATCTTTTTGAAATGTACACAAACAGAGTAAGAATCTAAAACTACCAGGGATGGTTGGTAACTATATCCCGAAAGCAGGTACATCTTCAATGCCAGCCCCATCATCCATAGCATTTCAGCTGCAAGCGTCATCATCCAAGGTGCAGAAGCATAGTGTGAGTACAACTGACCTATTGAAGTGACATGCTAAGGTGTATACATGTGCGAAGTGTGCTACCAAAGCTTCGATTACGCGACGACGCCACAAAATAGCAATTAACATGTTTGAATGGGAGATTTTCCTAAACATGATCTCTAACGTAATTCAAGTAGCACATAAAGGTTTAAAAACACATGAAGCATGATATCATGAAGCTTAACACTCAATTCAAGGAATAACATAGCCTAACCACTACCTTGAGCATGGATAAAACTCGGTGCACGCACACATGCTTATCCCTTACATGTGCGTCAGCCTTGGCACGTAGCCATTATCAACAATTCAAGTAACTACTACCTCAAACCAAATTTAGGTAAGATATTTACCTTAAACAAGCTAAATCAATACTTTATAAATGCCTTACCACGTGTATCGACCTCCGAATGGCCTGAATCTAGCCAAAAAATAACACAAAACTATCAGATAATACCATAGGAAACAACCCCAAATAATAAAGCTTTGTTCATTATATAAATATGCAAAGTCAACCAAAAAGTTAACCTAGTACCGTATCTTGGAACCCGACCAAACTCACAAATCTCGGTTACTTATTCTAATATGGGTCCAAATATACGAGTTTCCTCCTAATTGGACCTCAAATTGACCCCCAAATCTCCAATTTTCATTCTCCAAAACCATAGCAAAAACCTCCAAATTTCTCTTTCAAATCACATAATCTATGTATATAATATCAAAATCGAGCCCTATTGCCTTGTATGAAAACCTCTTCAAATATCGCCCCTCT